TCCAGGTTCCACCTTGCCATCAGGGAGCCACTAAAAGTTTGGGTCAAGTGAGTGACACAGCTAGTACTGATTTTCCACATTGTCCTAGTGGCCCATCTGGATGCAACAGAGAGGACAGAGCCCCAACGAGGAGGGTGTTTCCCGGGCCCAGGCAGGAGGTGGCAGGGCTAGAGAGGTGGAGCCAATGAGATCCACTGTGGCCTTTGACTATCTGCAACCTGACAGGGAAGGAGGGGAATACCCAGGCCCAGCCCAGCCTGGTGGGTGGGTAGACAGATGTGGCCCTGTTGCCCAGGTGAAAGGAGGAGCCCGCTTTCCTTCCCTTAGGAATGTTGGGTTCAAAGAGCATGTCCATGTGGGGGTCCAGAGATTCTTCCTAAAATGCAAACCTAGCAGGTTCCTGCCCCAGCCCACAAGCTAGTCAGGGGAAGGCTCTGGCCCCTGCAGGATTTTCCAGCCTCTTCTGGAGTTACTCCACTTTGCTTTTACCCAGTGGGCCCTCTGCCAGCCCACCTCATCCTTTATCTTTTTAATTGAGATATAATTCACATAACATAAAACCCAAATCCTCAAAGCATGTAACTTATATGACTTCAGCACATGCACAGTGTTGTACAACTATCATCGTTATCTAATTCTAGAACATTTCCATCATCCCAAAGGGAAGCCTCAAACCCATTAAGTAGTCATTTCCCTTTCCCTTCTCCCAGCCCCTGGCAAGCACCAATCGACTTTCTGTCTCTATGGATTTGCCTATTCTGGATATTTCATTTAAGTGGAAACATACAATTTGTGACCGTTTGTGCCTGGCTTTCTTTCACTAAGTAATGTCTTGAAGGTCCACCCATGTTGTAGCCGGTGTCAGCACTCCATTCTTTTTTGTGGCTAAGATTTCGTTGTGCGAAGGATCACATTTTGTTGACGCGTTCATCCAGTGATGGACATTTGGGGTGTGTACCCTTTTTGGCTGTTGTGAATATACTGCTGTGAACATTCATGTACAAGCTTCTGTATAGTAACAGTTTTCCCATTGTCTTGGGTAGGCCTCTGGCGGGGAATTGTTTAAGTATTTGAGGAACTGCTTGCTATTTTCCATCCTTCCATACTTCTAGCGTTTATCTCAACCTGTGAAGAAAGTTTGGGTGATTATCTCTTGATCTCTTCCCTCTGTTACTCTGAAAGGGCAGGGTGATTCTTGCTCTGATGGGGAAAACAGAAACATATGAAGGAGGGGTGTGATGGAGCTTTTAGGAGGTGGGCTGGCAATCTTTGCAGATGCTTAATGGAAAGGAAAAACCGGAAATGAGAGGTTCATAATTGTGGATATATATTTAATCATTTAAGCTCCAAGAGTGAGATCCTTAAGGATGTGAAGGGACAGGGCCCACGTAGGAACTGTGGAAGAAGAGATGCCACACGGGAGCCTAAGAAACCCTGGCCAGAGAGGTGGGAGGAAAAGCAGGAGCACTGTCTCTTTAACCAGGTGGGAGAGCAACTTCAGGAAGGAGGAAGTGGGACCGGCAGCATCCAAATGCCCTGGACAGGGAAAGGGAAGTTGAAGGGCCCTCCCATCTGGACTTCTCAGCACCATCTCCTCCTGCCCTCTGTCCTGGTTCAGCTTCAGAAGCTGCGGACTGCCCTCTGGAGGTGTGGCAGGTGGTAGTGCTGCCAGGGACAGGGTCTGGAGGCCCACTGCCACTCTGCAACTGAGATCCACCTTTCAGGCGACTGAAGTGGCACAGGTGAAGCACTGGGGTTAAGGGCACGCAGACTCTGGGACTCCAGACTCAGAGGCGGGCAGGCAGGGAAGAGGGAATGGCTTCAGGTCCTGTGGAGATGGGCCTCATGCACCTTGCTCCACTCCATGTCCCCTGCCTACAACAGTGCCAGGCCCTCAGATAGCCCCAGTTAGTGCCAGAAACAAGGGCTTGTGCCACCTGACTGGGACAACAGAAGCCATCCCCCAAGCCAAACCTACTCAGCTCCCAGGGTGGCAAAGTCTGGATGATGCAGGAAGTGTGTTCATGTGTGTGTGAGTGTGGGTGGGTGGGTGTGAGAGTACTGTGTGTGCACGTGTAAGAGTGTGAGTGTGAAAATGTGTAGGAGTGTGTATAAGTGTGAATGTGAATGAGTACATGTATACCTGAGAGTATGTGTGCATGTGCATGTGGGGGGAGGTGAATGGCATATGTGGACAGATGTGAGTGTGTGAATGTGAATGTGCGTGCATGTGTGTGTGCATGTGTGCTCAGCACTTCTTGTCCACAGCCCTGTCTGTCTAAGGCCCCACTTGGAGGGACACCCCCCCCAATGCTGAATATATGCATCTTCGGCCCCCAGACAGACTGTGACATTGCACCACTCTCAACTCTGTGTGCGAATGAGTACTTGTGTATGCCTAAGTGTATGTATCTGTTGTGTGTGTGTGAGTAGATGTGTCTCCCAGTGTCTATGTGTGTGTGAGAAAGAGAGTTTGTGGATGTGAATGAATATGGGTGTGAGTGGGTGTGGGTGGTGTGAGAGAGAGTACGTGCGTGTGTCAGCATGTGTGTATCTGTGTGTACACTCAGGCTTCAGGAGGATGGTTTCCGGGGCTGGGTGGTTTTAAAGAGTCTGAAGATGAGTCAAAAAAAAGTTCCAGAGAGATCAGAAGGTTCCTGCCTCTCAGACTGTAAATTTCATCCCTGTGTATTTAATACATTTTATTTCCTGTATGAAATACATTAATATGTGATAAACAGCTGAGCAAATTCTGCCAGTGGGTGGTCCCTGGGCTTTGGGGTATTTTATCAGAAACACAGAGCTAAACCATTTTCTCTGGCTCCTTGTGGGAGGGAAGGTAGGACCAACCCGCTCTGAGTCTGGATCCCTTCTGCTCGGCAGGGAGAAGGTGGGCCCAGACCACCACTCTGACACCACCACCCCAGCCACATCTGCTCTTTCCCTGAGCTCTCACTGCTTCCTAAGTCCAGCCCTGATCTTCACCTTTACCACCTTCTCCCCATTCCCCCAGCTCTGGTGCTGCCTTCCCAGTCTCTTCCTGCCTGGAAAGATCCTTCTGTTCAGCACTTGTTGTCCACAGCCCTGTCTGTCTAAGGCCCCACTTGCCACAGACTTTGACTCTGCAGGAGGCCCCAGAACAGCACCCTCTGAGGAATGATTAACTCTTGGTTAGGTGGTACACCGTGGCTTGGTCTTTGGGGCAAGTGGACCCTGGCCAGCCAGGAGATGGAAGGGTTCCTACCACTTATCAAAATCCAGAGTTAGCACCCAACAGACTAGGGGGGCTGTCAGGGACAGGGCTTAGAACAAATAGCCCTGGGAAGCCACATTCCTGAGGAAGGAGGATTCTGGGTTCCCTACAAGCTGAAAAAAAAGAATGGTGTACCCCACCCCTGTGACAGGGCAACATGGCAGGAGGACAGAAACAAGTACATGGCCAGGGTGAAGTCCAGCCCAACATGGTCCCCAAACATTGGTCTAGAGCTGAATCTGGGCTATGGGAAGGTACTCAGTGACCTGAGGATGGCCAGCAGGTGTAAAGTGGTCTTCTCTAATCCTCTTTGTACCCCACTGCCCCCCAGGGGCCCCATGGGACCCCTTCTGTGGCCTAGCTGTCAGAGCCTGGTCAGGTGACATCCCTAGGCAGTAGACTCCAGGACAAAGCACATAGGAAGGTGTGTGGGCATGAAGCTGCCATGCAAAGAGTGAGGCAGGAGCAGAGATTTTGTCTTGCCTCCACCACCCTGGCACCCTTATCTTCTCAGACCCTGGGTACTAGACTGGATCAACAGAAAGAAAGATGGCTGGACAGAAGGAACACCACTCCCAGCCTCTGCCTTCCATACCAGGGCCATTTCTGACCCTGGGAACTTCCTATTGGGAGATACCAACTTTGCCAGCATCCCCCACACCGTCCATGGCAAAACCCAGGAGTCTGGCTCCCAGTGAAACCTGGCCCTGGCCCCAGGATGGATGGTACTGACTGACATTTATGGGGTGAACACTGAGTGTTGGGCACTGTTCTAACACTTCATGTGCCACACAGCACGCTTGGTTTTCACAGACACCCTCTGAGGGAGGTCTTGTAGGATCTTGGGCTTTGCAGACCAGAGAAGAGGAATGGCTGGCCAAAGGTCACACCGCTGGTAAAGGGGGACCCCAGGCTTCAGACACAGGTCCATTTGAACCCAGAGCCTTGGTTTTCAGCACAGTGCTAATTTGCCTCCCACCAGGTTGACAGAAGGTAAAAGGCCAGTGTCCTTGAAGTCCCCAGAAGGGCCAAGCAGACCACCCAGGAAGATGGCAGGCCAAGATCAGGATCCCCATCAGAGCTTGTGTGTGCTGCTGTGTGGCTGCCAGGACACAGTTTCCCAGCACTTTGACGCGTCACTGGCTTCCTAGCCCTGAGGGAGTCAACTCTTCCGGCCATCAGCAGTGCCAGACAATTAACAGTGGAGAATAAATGTTGTGGCTGTGCCAGCAGCCCACTTTGGTTGATGAGATAGGGAAGGTCAGATGCTGATGCAGGGCTCCCAGTGCAGGCACAGCAGGGGACAGAGACCACTGTCAAGAAGGGCTGCCAAAGCAATGTCTTCTGTTCCCCAAGCTTCCTGCAGGGTCCTTGGGACCTCAAATATGAAACCTGCCCAAGGCCCTGCCACAGACTCAGGGTACTAAGTTGAGCCTGAGACTTCATGCGTAGGATCAGCAGGACAGCTCCCATCTGGCAGGGATCCCTGTAGCCAAGGTCCGAAATAGCAGGAACCAACCTGGCCATCAGCTGGGCTGGGGCATCTAGGGGCCAGGGATGCACCAAGTGGCAGGCCAGAGTAGGAAGGTAGAAATGAGGAAGTGTTCTGAAGGGGAGCACAGGCTCACCTGGCCCAGAGCCAGCATGCAGTGTGGACACCCCCCCCTCCAATTCTGACTATATGCATCTTTGACCCCCAGACAGAGCTGTGACGTGGCACCACTCTCAACTGCTGAGCCTGCCCACCATGGCGAGCCCCACTCTGAGCCCCGACTCCTCATCCCAGGAGGCTCTGTCAGCCCCCACTTGCTCTCCCACCTCTGACTCTGAGAACCTCAGCCCTGATGAGCTGGAGCTGCTGGCCAAGCTTGAAGAACAAAACCGGTGAGTAGGGGCCTATAGGTCAAGGTGGGGCCTCAGGGTACAGCTTGGGCACCTGGCAGAAATTCTCAGGACCCCTCACATTCGGACCGGGCCCATGCTGTGCAAGGTAACAGCTACAACCAGACACATTGTGTGTTTCCTTTCATCTTCCCAACCCCTGTCCCCCTGTTCAGATGAGGAGACCAAGGTTTCGAGAGATCAAATGAGTTTGGCTCATTAACCGAGCCATTTTTAGAAGAGATTAAAGCTGTACTCCTCTCCACCATCCTTCCCCTGTCTTAGAATGTGGGGACTTTTTGGGGTGAGGTTTGTGTGTGTGTGATGCTGGGAATGGAACCCAGGGCTTCACACATGCTGGGAAAATACTCTGTCACTGAGCTACAGTTCCTGCCCAGAATGCCCACTTTGTCATTGTTCAGGTATAGTCATTAGGACCTCGTGGCCACTGAAAGGGTACTTTGGAACTCACAGTTTCCAAAAGGAGAGGGCACACCAAACCATTCAGGGAAAGTACTAGGGCCCATCAGGAGGCAGAGAGAGCTGGGGTGGCAGAGAATGTGGGCCATGGGCCTCTATGGTGGTCTCAATGGGAAGGATAGGCAAGGCTGTCGCTAGTTGTCTAGAACCTGGTGTGGAGGTGTTGTGGGCAGGTGAATAGTGAACAGAGTGAGAGCCTGATGGAGGAAGTGGTTGGGGTGTGGGCTCTGGGTTGGTTGGTTTGCATAGGAAAACCACATGCTTGGTTTGCTAGCTGTCAGGTCATTTTCTATCTCTAGGAACTGCTAGCCCTGGAAGAGACCATCCCTCTCTCCCTCCAGGGTACACAAGGCCCAGCTGTCAAAGCACCAGAAACGCAGAGTTAATACAGCTCCTCAATGGCTGGGTGCCCTCAGCCAGGGCTCGCTGTCTACCCCCCACCTCTAAAGTGGAGATCATCCCCAAGTCTGCTCCACAGGGCTGGTCTGAGAATTAATGATACACACTCACATGATGCTCAGCCAGTGCCTGTCATCGAATAAGAACACGCAAATGGAAGTCTCTCTGGGGCTAGTGCTTGAGGACCATGGCTCAGATAGGCTGGGTCACTGGCCAAGGTTGCTCAGCAAGAATGACATGGACTGAGTCCCTGGTGTCCTCTGAGACCTCCCCCCAGGGGAGGGTGTGAGTTCCCCAGAGGATCCCTGTCTCCAGGGAGTCACCTTACCTCTGGCCCTTCCTGCTCAGGCTCCTGGAAGCCGACTCCAAGTCCATGCGCTCCATGAATGGCTCGCGGCGGAACAGTGGCTCCTCACTGGTGTCCAGCTCCTCAGCCTCCTCCAACCTGAGCCACCTAGAGGAGGACACATGGATCCTGTGGGGCCGTATTGCCAACGAGTGGGAAGAGTGGCGGCGCCGGAAAGAGAAGCTGCTCAAGGTGGTGGGGGGTGGGGGGTGGGGGGTGGCTGGGCTCCTGGGAAGACAGGCAGTGGGGGCAGTGGGGTCATTCAGCTATGAGGTAGTACCAGGGGGCCAAATCCTGGCAAAGGGGCAGAAATAGAGATGTATCGACTGGGTGTGAGGACAGGGAGGCCTCAGTGCTGCAGGAGGCTGTTTGCTTACTGTTCTTAGTATCCACGACCATGCACAGTGCCCAGCAACCTCTGTGCCATGGGAGGAGGTATGGGCAAGCCAACAGCTGAGGAGCTGGACTGGGATTGAGTCTAGCCCAGCCTCCCCTTCCCGGCCATTCTCTGTGGCAGGAGCTGATCCGCAAGGGCATCCCGCACCACTTCCGGGCCATTGTGTGGCAGCTCCTATGCAGTGCCACGGACATGCCAGTCAAGAACCAATACTCAGAGCTGCTCAAGATGTCCTCACCATGCGAGAAGCTGATCCGCAGGGACATTGCACGTACTTACCCAGAGCATGAGTTCTTCAAGGGCCAAGACAGCCTCGGCCAGGAGGTCCTCTTTAACGTCATGAAGGTGAGGCCCAGCAGCCCGCAGCCACCTGAGGGGCAGTCCCCACGTGGACCCATTTTGCCAGACCAGAGGTATTCTGCACTCACCCCACATTGTTCCCTTCCAGGCCTACTCCCTGGTGGACCGAGAGGTGGGCTACTGCCAGGGCAGCGCCTTTATTGTAGGCCTGCTCCTCATGCAGGTAGGTAGCCTGGGACCAGGCCCTCCCCGGGCTGCACTTCCAGGAGGTGGACACAAGCAGGCTTTTCTCTCTATCCACCGACCTCCTAGGTCAGAGCCTTCCTTTCCAGCCACCCAAGAACTTTTACAGTTCCCAAGCCAAAACTCCTATGGGTGGACACAGAGCTTCCAGGCACTTGCCCTGGCTTTGTCCTGACACTATACAGTCCAGGATAGAGAAAGGGGCCTGAAAAGCAGCCTCCAGGTTTGGACCAGGAGAGACCTCAGACCAGGGACTTAGATCAGCCATTGTGGTGTTTATGGGGCCTGGGGATTTCCTCCAGAGAAACCAGAGGCCTAGGATGGGGGGAAGGGGAGACAGCTGGGAGTAGACAGGAGGGTGTCTCCACCCAGTGGGTGAGACATGGGCTCTGGCAGCTGCCCGATCTGGGTCAGCTCCACTGTTTCTAGCAGGGCCACTCTGCTGAGGCTCGAGACTGCAGCCTCGAGTTTCCCCTCCATAAAACAACAGTGACTCTGTTTACCAGTGGCTTGTGTGGCAGGTCCAGATAGCTGGGTATCAGTGCCCACTAAATGTAAGTGGAACAGAAACAGGCCCCAGGTACACCAGGGCTCTGCCAAGAGCCACAAGCATGCCCCTGCTGCTACCCTGCCCACCTTCAGAGCCCCCCGCCCAAACCCCCAGATGCCTGAGGAGGAGGCCTTCTGCGTGTTCGTGCGGCTGATGCAGGAATACCGGCTGCGGGAGCTCTTCAAGCCCAGCATGGCCGAGCTGGGGCTGTGCATCTACCAGTTTGAATACATGCTGCAGGTGAGGAGGATGGGGAGCCCCAGCCAGGTGGCCATCCTAGGCTGTCCTAGGGAATTTCTTAGACTGAAAATTCTAAGCCTGAGAAATCATGCCCAGAAGTCGCAGAATGAGGACCATGGGCTCCAAAGGCACTGCCCTGAAAGCTGCTTGGAGGGTCAAAGAAGGGACCTTCCACTCACACCAGGGACTCCCAGAGGTGCTGAGGCCCAAGGAGACACTAGGTTCAACAGACACACGGGGCCTGTGGGCCCATGCCTGTGTACTCTGGGAGTGGTAGAGGGAGGGAAAGTGTTGTCTGCCTGCCGCTGCTGATTACCAGGAGCTGCAGACAACTCTGTTTATAAATAGCAGTCCCGAAGGGCCCACTCCTGGTCGGCAGACAGAGCTGCCGTGTTCACGCATGCAAGTGCGCTCTCTCCCTCCCTCCCTGTCTCTCTCTCTCTCACACACACACACATACACACCTGCTCTGGAAGCCCATGGCAGGGAAACTGTGCAATAGGTGAGCTGAGCACCTCATTTCTGGGGCCTGGAGGACCAGGGAGCCTGGTGGTATCCCAGGTAGGGGGCCCAGGCTCACTGAGAAGCAGCCCCCACCCTAGAATGAGTAACTGAGCCTTCCCACAGCCAAGCAGAAGTCTAAATCCTGGGCTCAGAAGACCCCCTGCTCTAGGAGGAAGCCCAGGGTCCTCCTCCGGCCTCAGTTTCTCAGGGTCTGCCACTGTCCACAGTCTGAAACTGGGCCAATCCAACAGGCATTCCCTGAGCATTCTGCATACAGGGCTGCATGCAGGGGGCCATGGGTGGACACAGTGACCAGCAAGTCACCTTCCACAATGTGAGCTATGACAGCTCTGACCAGGGGCCATGGGCTTCACCTCTTTTTTTTTTTAATGTATTTTTATACATTTATTTTATTTATTTTCATGTGGTTCTGAGGATCGAACCCAGTGGCTCACACATGCTAGACAAGCACTCCACCACTGAGCTAGAACCACAGCCCCTCCACGTCTGGATGACCTTAGGAAGTGACCTAACCTAACCTCCTGAGTCCCAGAAGCTCCCTGTGTGGTGGTCAAGAGACCCCATTGGCTGCTATTAAGCAGTCAGGTCCCACGTGTTGTAGCTTTTGCCGCTTTGGCCACCCCTGCCTTTGACCCTACCTCATGCTATTCAAACTCTGGGTGGGTTTGGCCACCCCCAAACACAGTGGCCAGGGAGTACTGATGAGGGGAGCCACAGGCTGCCTAGGCTGGTTATGGAAGTTTCCTAGAAGCCAGGGAACAGAAGCCCAGCAGCCCTGAGTGGGAGGGAGCCAGGTGGGTGTGGACAGCACCCATTCACCATGCCCTCTGGGCCTCCCCACCATGTAGGAGCAGCTCCCGGACCTGAACACCCACTTCCGCTCACAGAGTTTCCACACGTCCATGTACGCCTCGTCCTGGTTCCTCACGCTCTTCCTCACCACCTTCCCCCTGCCCGTTGCCACTCGTGTCTTCGACATCTTCATGTACGAGGTGAGGGCCCTGCAGGTTACTCCACCCAGGCCACTCAGGATGCAGCAAGTCACACCCCACCCCGGAAACAAACCCCAAGCAGCTCACAGACCGGGCAGAGGAAGGGCCAGAGCCTGGGGAGGGGACTGAGCTTCCTGTGGGCCAGGACAGGAGGCTCACAGCCACAGCGGCCACATTGCAGGGCCTGGAGATCGTGTTCCGGGTGGGCCTTGCCCTGCTGCAGGTGAACCAGACGGAGCTGATGCAGCTGGACATGGAGGGCATGTCCCAGGTAGGCCAGGAGGGCAGGTGGGTAGGAGGGGTCAGACACATGGGAGGGTCAGACACCATCTAGCACCAGCAGCCTGGCAGCAGGGAGAGAGGAAGGTACAGGCCCAGGCTGAGCCCTGGGAGGTCCCTCCCTCTCCCTCCTGCTACTCCAGGTCCCCAAAGCTTGCTGGCAAAGTAACCCTGGCCAAACCATAAGGCTTTGGTCCCCAGCCCCTTGGCCAGCCAAGGGCACAGGAAGAGGCAAGGCACCTGGAGCAGCCTTCTGCCCTGCCCTGCCCCAGCCTGCCCTGGTGGCCCTGCCTGCTAGAGAATGGCTGACCTGCCTCTCATGGCCATTTCCCCATCATGCAGGCCCCTGCCCCCTCCCAGCATCCTCCAGCTGGTGCTTCAGGGAAGAATGCACAAAGGCCACGGTTGTGTCCAGGAACACGAGCGTCCATTGTCCGCAACTGCCAGAGGGGGCCAGCTGGGCTGGGGAGCAGGAGCTGCGTCCACTGAGGCTTACCTTAACCCTTTGCAGAGGCTCCAGGGGCCCCAGCATGCCTACCCGCTTCCTCCATTAATGTCCCTGTGCTCAGACTGCCCCCGCCCCCCAGCCTTCACCCTTAGGCACTTCCCAAGTCTGATTTTCTCTGGAAACTGAAGCCCTGGCTGCAGGCAGTGGGGGAAGGCCAGCCCTCCCTTCTTAGCCTCTGGTTTGCTCCACAAACACTGATTGAGCGGCTACAACAGGACAGGCCTGTGCTGAGGACACGGTGATGCCTCACGCAGCAGGACGCAACAAGGGCTCAGAGGCAGGGCCTGTGTGGCGGTGACCGCCTGTGTCCCCACAGTACTTCCAGAGGGTGATCCCCCACCAGTTTGACAGCTGCCCAGACAAGCTGGTCCTCAAGGCCTACCAGGTCAAGTACAACCCCAAGAAGATGAAGAGGTCGGTGCAGGACTTTGGGGTGTTGGAGGGGAAGGGAAAGTCCCTGGGGGGTGGAGCAGTGATCACACTGGCCTCGCCCTCTGCAGGCTGGAGAAGGAGTATGCAGCCATGAAGAGCAAGGAGATGGAGGAGCAGATCGAGATCAAAGTGAGGCCCGGGCCCGGGGGAGGGGCAGGGCCGCGTCCTTGGGGGCTCCCCTCCTACCTCCAGAGCTGGCCGCTAGAGGGCGGCCCTGCCCAGTGCACTGGAGGATCAGGCCGTCCTTGGCAGACGGCCGCAGGCTCTGATGATCCTTCCTCTGCCCACCTGCCCCTTCCTTCACCTGCCAGGCCGGCGTGGGAGCGCCTGCCCCAGCCGGCACGTTCTCATCACTGGTGACACAAGAGTAAACAAGACAGTCAAGGTCCGTGCCATCGTGGGGCCCCTGTGTCGTGGGGAGACCATCAATAAATCACTAAAATAGTGTGAACTCTACAGAGTGCTCTGGATGCAAATGTGCAGGGGAGGAGGGGCAAGGGGTCCCCGGGAGCCATCCAGGGAGTCCAGTGCAGAAGGCCTGAGGCAGAATCTCACCTGGTGGGCAGGGGGATCATCCTGAGGGAGCAGTGAGGGATCCTCTGAGGGCTGGGGACAGTGAAAAGAGCCAAGGAAGGCAGGGACCAGATGCTAGGGTGTGTAGGCCAGGGTGTGTGTGGGTGCCCACACAGGGAACTGGTACCCTGGTGTCCAGCCCACCAGCCCCTTCAAGGTCAGTGAGTTCCCTGAGCATGCAAAACCTCTGAGCCCAGGCTGCCCCCTCTTGCCTTTTGCTGCTTCATCCTCACACCCATGATTTTAGTTATTCACTCAACAAGCATTTATTGAGTATCTGCTGTATACCAGAGTCACAACCAAGAGTGAGAGGCCCCTGGCCCAATGCTAGGGACAGACAGGGATACAAATTCCCACACAGACTGGCTCTGCCCTCTTCAGGGACAGAACTATGCAGTGATTGAGACGGGAGTCCTGCAGAACCAAGTTCAAATCCCTGCTCACCAGGGACCAGCTGTGTAACCCCAGCAGGTGAATTCATCTCTCTGAGTCTCTATGGCCCTATCTGCAAGATAGGGCAGGGGCAGACCTAGATCAGACTCCAGGTCACCTGCCACCCATCCCTGAGAAGCAGTAAAGGCATCATTGTCCCAGCCTGTTCCTATGGTTTCCAGAAATATTTCAGTATTTGGGGTTTTGAGCATCCCCCTTTCTTGGTTATGGCAGCTTGACTGATGCACCAGTCCAAACGTGTTTTGCTCTTGGTCATGTACAGAAAAGAGCCTACTCCCATCAGGTGACTGAGAGCCCAGCAGTGAACAAGGACACAACAGACCCTTGATCCATTTGCCAGGCTGGAAAAATCTCCTGAGAGGCCTTCTCATGGGGCCCTGCCCTCCATTCTTTCACCTTTAGCTGTTTTGAAATGTCTCAGAGATTTGTTTGAACCGGATAAGGCAGGACAGCAGAGACAAGTGCTTTTAGAAGAAGCTCCAAAAGAGGAGGGGGGCAGGCTATGCCAGATTGGGCACATAAGGGCAAGAACCAGGGTCTGTCAGGAAGCCCAGAGAGTGAGGGGGACATCGTGACTTAGAGTGTTGGATGTGGTTTCTGCAGGAGGACCACGGGGTAGGACAGGCCAGTGTGAGCAGCCTCAGCATTAGGCAGTTTGAATGATCTCTGCAGCTCTATCCTGCAGGTGTGATCCCTCTTGTTCCCATTCTTGCCCTGGGGTAATTTAGGATGGGGAAATACTAGCTTGGTGTGTGTGTGTGTGCACGTGTATGTGTAAAGGAGGTGACTTCAGGTTTAGGCTCTGGTTTGGGTGGTTTTATGTGGAAGATGCAATCTGTTTAGGACTTAACTAGTCCTGGAGGGGACAGTCTCTGGAATTAGTAAGGTTTCAGATGTCAAAGCATCATGATGTACAGAAAAGAAAAAAATGTAAACCCATGATTAGGAGATAGCTTCACATACTGCTCACTCATTCTTCTGCTCATTTTTACCTTGGAGGAAGCAGAAAAGAGGAGTTATAGATAAGCCTGCCCACCCCCACCCCCGCCCCAGGGATGACTCTGCTTGGTGCAGTGCCAGGCTGAGGCCAGAGAAAGCAGAGCAAGCCAGGGCCCAGAGGTCCTGACCCCATGCCTGAAACATCTCAGGCCTGGCCATGCTGGTAGGCGTGAGCAAGACCCTGCCCTCTCTGACTCAGTTTCCCCACCATGACATAAGTCAGGAACATCAAGTCCATGAATTATTGATTGCAGTTGCTTCCTGGAAATGTTCTAGGTATTTCCATTACCATTTCTCCCCAAAAGCAACCCAGAAAATGTTCTGTGTGACCCACAACAAGGCAGGACCCTCCTTCATCTACAGATCCAAATTATTTCTTTACCACGTTGCAGGGGAGACTAGATACAACATGTATGTCAATGTCACCTGCTTCCCAGAGGGTCATGGGGGAACCTAAAACTACAGATATCTACTCAGGATCCTTCAGCATAGAATGGAAAGCAAAAGCAAGGGCAGGTCTCCAAAAAGATCTTGGAAATGTAGCCATGGAGCTGAAGGAAGCCTGCATGTTCAGCACACAGGATCCAAATTGTGAGAGGGCCTTGTCCCAGAGAACTTAGCTCAGGGGTAAAGCAGGGAGGATGGGGCTGTCTCAACAACTTCACCCTCAACAGCTTCACCCAACAGCTCCAAGGCTCTGTCCTTGACAGATCCAAGCATGGGCTGGGCTTCTGAAGAGAATGTGGGTGCTGACTACCCCACAAACATAGTTACTGAAGTGCTCAGGTTGTTTTTACTGAAGAGTTGTTATAAAAAAAAATCCCCCAGTGCTAGGGTTTGAATGCACACATCATAGGCAAGCACTCTACCACTGGTTACATTCCCAGCCCCTAAAATGTTTTTTAAATGGACCATTCTGAATAAGAATGGACCCTGTTTTCTGAAATTGCTGACCCAGAACATAAGATGCTGGCTCTGTCCTGCCTGGAGGTGGCTTGGCCCCCAATGGGCCTGACCTCAATATCCTCCATAGTTGAATGGGGGTGTGTGCAGGAATGGGAGGCAGGTTCTGATGTGCTTTCCCTCCCCTTCCACAGAGACTTCGGACAGAGAACCGGCTCCTGAAACAGCGGATTGAGACCCTGGAGAAGGTGAGAGGCGCAGACTCCAGCTGGGACTCCAAACCCTCCAGGACTTTTACAGGGCACAGCAGACTTTAGGCCCAAGCCCAGGTTCTGCTCCAATAAGAGTAGCTTAAACTCCCTAACCTTGAGCTGCCCTAACACTGGGATCTCTGGGGAAACCTCACCTTAGATCCTGATTCATGATTAACCCTGGGGTTGGGGCTGAGTCACGACTTGTGGACTATAAACACAGCAATCCTGGGCAGCTTGGGTGGGGGAGAGGAGGCAGAACTGTGGGGCTGAGGAAGGAGCCCCATCCCTGGGCCACAAGATATCCCACCCTGTAATTTGGAAGTCTCGCCCTTGAAAGAAAGGAAGGAAAAGAGATGGAAAGGAGGAGGGGGCAGTCTTACCACTTGTGATGGAGAGCCTTGGCCTTGACCCTGGCCCTGACACATTAAAGATGCGGGTGGAATGGGCAGCTTATCTGAGCCCCAGCACCAGGGCCCCCACTTCCTACTCCTCCCTTGTCCTCACTTGACCCTCCACTGACCACAGGGAGTGAGTTGGTGGCAGATAGGACTGCATTGCTCTTGCCCCACAGCCTCCGTTCTTGCTCTTCCTCAAAATGAAAATGCATTTCCCGTCCCAGACCGCTCTGGAGGACACCTCACTCACAGTGAGGCCGACATCACCAGCACTGAGGTTCCTGTCGGCCTCAGCCCTGTAGCCCCCACAGCGTGGCTAGCCCTGGCCTTCCTGTTCATACAAACCCTCTCCAGGATGGAGCTGGCTCTGGCTTTGGTCTTCCTCTGGTCCTCTCCTGCTGGTTCTCTGGTCTTCACTCCTCTCTCCCCTGCTTCTAGAGATAGTCCATGGCATTAGTGACAAGTGGTTCTTGTGTGTCTCTCCCCTCTCCTGTCCCTGTGCCTTCCGCTCTGCCTCCTCCCCCTGTCGCTCGGAACCCCCTTCGCCCGCCCGCCCGCCGGGTAGGAGAGCGCTGCTCTGGCTGATAGGTTAATCCAGGTACTGTAGCTTTTTGTCTCCCTCTCCAGTTTCCTTCCTGGTCCCTTCCCTGGTCCTTGCACATGACAGCCAGTAACCACCTTTTCCCTGGCTGCTGCCATTTCTGGGGGCAAGGGGGCAGGCGTGGCACAGTGCATGGGGGCAGCTGGGGCTCACTTCTAGGAAGACAGGCTTTCCTGGATGGGGGCTTGTGAAGTGAGAGAAACACGGGTGTGGGGAGAGTCTGAGTATGTTTGGCATGAACTTACACACACAGGGATAGAAAGTTCCCTCCCGGAGGGACACAATAGGGGCTCGGTTGGGCTCAGGACTGTAAGAGCGTCACTGCGCTGAGCTTACCATACACCCTCTGTGCTCTCACGCTGCTCCTCTCTCCTCCTACCTGCCAAGCCTACTACCTTCTCTCATTTGCCTGCTTTTGTTGCCACTTCATCTCGAATGGCTTTATCTGGAAGCTTCCGCACAGCCTGGAATGGGGGGCCCAAATTGGTTGGGGGAAAGTATAAAGTGGGGTCTTTGCCCCAGGCAAGCAGAGGCCCCCAGGCCTTAACCCTGGCCTATCCCACATCCCAGCCCAGTGAAGACTCTGGGGAGCTGAATTCTGAGCCACTGGGGCTTTGACTGTCCCCAGAATACCACCCTCCCACCAGGGCTCAGCATGAACTGGTAGAGCTCCTGCTGTGCCCTTGATCCTGGATAAGGGCTACTTTACCTCACCTGGGTCAGAGGCCAAGAGTCAGAATCGAGAAGGAGAAGAGAATGTTGGCACTTTCAGCTGGCAGATCCTGACAAGTAGAGGGTGAATCTGTTCCTCCCAGGTTCCTCCTGGTATGCTTTCTGGGCCTCTGCCTATCCCTAGGCCACAGTGGGCACTCCATCCCAGGCTCCAAGTGTGGGAAGCGTTGCCCCTCTCACTTCCCCACTCCTTCACCCTCTCTGGGCCTCTCTCTGTGGCCCGAGGCAGGGTCTGGGATGGAAACAGAAGATCACTGTCCTCCATCCTCACTGTGCTCAGGGGCAGGTGACACGGGCGCAGGAGGCTGAGGAGAACTATGTCATCAAGCGGGAGCTGGCAGTGGTGCGGCAGCAGTGCAGCTCAGCAGCAGAGGACCTACAGAAGGCGCAAAGCACTATCAGGCAGCTTCAGGAGCAGCAGGTAGCTGCAGGAGCCAAGGGTGGGTGGTGCCTGTCCAGACCACGCCCTCACCCGCCACTCTGCAGGGCTTTCAGGACTCAAATCAGCCCTGCCTCAGCCCCTGGCCTTCCTGTATAAAGAGTGGGGGTACCCAGAGGCCAGTACTGATTCCTCCCCAGCTCCCCTCTTATAGGAGCTGCCCAGACTTGGGGGCATCCCGAGATTTTCTAGGGACCCCAGCACCAAGGCTTCTGAGAACCAGACTGCCCCAGCCAGATTCTCTAAGCTCCCACTTTGTCGGGGATGAAGAAATGAGTGAGGCTCAGGGCCATGTTTCCAGGCCCAAAGAGAAGCAAGAGGAAGTGGCCCAGATGAGGCACTTCACAGCCTGGCAGAGGCACCACTTGGGGCTTGGAGTCCATCAGGCCAAGGAAGGGCCACTGGTACTTAAGGATATCAGAGCCCCATGGTGTCAAGGGATCCTGAAGCAATGTCAAACCCCTTCAGAGCACCCCCTGTGTAGCTTTCCTGGGAATGTGATGGGCCAGTTTGCTACCCCAGGGACAGGATTCCTAGTCATAGGGCATTAGAGTTCCGGCCAGGATTCCTCACCCCCCAGTTGCAGCTGGGGACCCACACAGCCCTCTGCCTCCCTCAGGAGAACCCACGCCTCACTGAGGACTTTGTGGCCCACCTGGAGACAGAGCTGGAGCAGTCACGGCTACGGGAGACAGAGACACTGGGGGCCCTGCGGGAGATGCAGGATAAGGTTCTGGACATGGAGAAGGTGCGACTGGATGGGAAGGGGCTGAAGGTCCTGAGGAATCTTTGGGGGACACACAAAAGACCTTATCCAAGGAAAGGGGAAGCCTGGGTGCTCCCCCACACCAACCATCAGACCCTAGGAGGAGGCAGCTTCTGCCTCTTTTGAACCCAGGGTCCTCTGGGCCCACTGGACACCTGCCCCTTCACCATGGTCTCCACATGAGGGCCTGGAGACACTATCCTGGAGACACTGGGGCCCTCGTTCTCCTATCTGCAGCCCTATCTGATGGGGGCATCAGGCCTCCTGCACCTCCTCAACTGCTTTCTGAATTGACTCAACTCTCCCACAAGCTGCCAGAGGAAGGGAAGGGGCCAGGATCCACTCACATGGTGCAGGAGCTGTGCCCGTCCCCTGCAGCCTGCACTGTTGAGCCCCCCCCACATGTCTCTGCCACCACTGTGTGAGGAGCCATCAGCCTCTCAGCCCCCACCTCCAGCCCAGGGCAGGGCTTCCCCTCCTACCTCACTCCACCTGGGAGGGAAACCTGCATCCCTTAGATCCTGCTGCCCTGCCTCCCACCCAGACACAAACAAGGGCCAGAGAAGACCTGGTCCAGGATTTTGGCACAAGATGCTGGGGCACAAATCCCCATCACTGAGCCCTGGGGATGCTGGGACAGGATGTAGGCTGGTCCTCAGCCCATTTATTCCCAAGTAGAGGGTCTGTTTATTCCCCCTGGCCCAGCCTGGGGAGCACAGGGTACTGCCCACCCAATCTTCTCAGCCCCTGCTGGGGCAGATTCCAGGTCTGGTTATAGGCCCTGAGGTGGGCTCCCTGAGTCTACCCGCTGTGCTCAGTAATAACATTAAGGAAACTCCACAATTTATGGGGGCAGAGGACAGCCCCACGAGAGAGCAGGTACTCTTATGGCAGCCATTTTAGGGGTGAAGATCCCTGACCCGGGTTAGATAGGTCTCTTCCCATCCACCTGATTCCTACTCCCGGAGTATCCTATGGTCCAGGGTGCCACCCTTCCCCCAGCTGAGTCCAGAGGCCGGCAGTTCTCTGGGGTCAGCTGCCTGAGGCTCTGATGGCCTCTCTCCCCCCAGAGGAACAGCTCCCTGCCTGACGAGAACAACGTGGCGCGGCTGCAGGAGGAGTTGAAGGCGCTCAAGGTGCGGGAAGGCGAGGCGGTGGCCTCTGCACGAGAGCTGAAACTGCAGCTGCAGGAGCTATCGGACACCTGGCAGGTGAGAGTCCAGGGAGCGGGGAGCGGCCCAGGCGCCCCCTCTGGCAGCCCTTGGAGGAAGGCCAGCGACCCAGGCCTGTGGTCTCCTCTGAGCACAGACTGAACACGGACACCCCTACCCTCCACTCCGTTCCAGGCGCATCTGTCCCGAGGCGGCCGCTGGAAGGAGTCCCCGCGGAAGCTGGTCTTGGGCGAACTCCAGGACGAGCTGATGAGCGTGCGTTTGCGTGAGGCCCAGGCCCTGGCCGAGGGTCGCGAGCTACGGCAGCGTGTGGTGGAACTTGAAACCCAGGTGGGCGCTCGGCCCCAAAGCCCGCCTACGTGGGGGAGGGTGCTTGGTGTTGTTGCCCATTGGCCAGGCAGTGATCCCCGCTGGCCCGCCTTCTTTCCCACCCTTAGGACCACATCCACCGCAACCTGCTGAACCGCGTGGAGGCCGAGCGCGCCGCGCTGCAGGAAAAGCTGCAGTACCTGGCCGCGCAGAACAAGGGGCTGCAGACGCAGCTCAGCGAGAGCCGCCGCAAGCAGGCCGAGGCGGAGTGCAAGGTGCGGTCCCTTGCCCAGCCCTCCCGGCCCTGCCCCAGCCCTCACCGCCCCCCTGACCGCCCCTTCTGTCCCATCCCCAGAGCAAGGAAGAGGTGATGGCCGTGCGTCTGCGGGAGGCGGACAGCATGGCTGCGGTGGCTGAGATGAGGCAGCGCATCGCGGAGCTGGAGATCCAGGTGAGCGGGGTTCCGGGCGGGGATGTGGAGGTCAGACTTGGGGGCCGGGCCCTGCCTGCTCTGACCGCAGGTGCCCTGGCCCTCCCCGCAGAGGGAGGAGGGCCGCATTCAGGGCCAACTGAACCACTCAGACTCGTCGCAGTACATCCGTGAGCTCAAGGACCAGATTGAGGAGCTGAAGGCGGAGGTGAGCGTTCGGGAATACCGGTGACAGGCCAGACGTCGGTGCAGTAAGAAGGATGCTTCTAGGAGGGCGGGGGAGGAGGGTGCCTGGCAGCTGGACTCCGCGTGGGTACATCGGCCCACACCTCCAGCGCGCCGGTCCCCGCCCCAGGTGCGGCTGCTGAAGGGCCCGCCACCCTTCGAGGATCCACTGGCTTTCGATGGACTGAGCCTGGCCCGACACCTGGATGAGGACTCGCTGCCGTCGTCAGATGAGGAGCTGCTGGGCGTGGGCGTGGGCGCGGCTCTACAGGATGCGCTCTACCCTCTGTCCCCGCGCGATGCGCGCTTCTTCCGACGTCTGGAGCGACCCGCCAAGGACAGCGAGGGCAGCTCAGACAGTGACGCAGATGAGCTGGCCGCGCCCTATAGCCAGGGCCTGGACAACTAAGACCCGGTTCCCCGCTGCGGAGCCGGGAAGCCACAGCCTCGGTACACGGGGCAGTCAACCGCCTGCTGCTCCGCACACGCACTTAAGAACTCCACGCCTCGGCGGCTCCGCCTACCCCAGGGCCGAGTCAGCGAGGCAGCACGTAGAGGGCAGGGCCCCGGCAGGCCCTCCCTCCCCAGCAGTGTTTACCCTTCTTGGTGGTATCCCTCCGGCCCTCCCGTGTCCCACGGGTGGTGCCTGAGCAGTTACCTGGAAGGTGTGCCCTCCACACTGAGGGCAGGGGCGGCGATGAAGAGATGGCAGGACTGGATGAGTGGGCTTCCTTCAGAAACAAGGGCGGCCCTGCTGGGAAGGGCTCAGGAGCTAGAAGAGGCCTGAGGAAGAGGGGCAGCTCTGGGCTAGACATTAGCACCCCATGAGGATGCCCTCAGGACACAGTGACCCTTGATCATCCAGCTCCTGGCTGCCAGGGACAGATGACCAGGCTAGGCTTTCCTGCCTGGTGCAGGCATTGTGGCCCCTGTAGCAGAAACCAAAGTCCCCCCTATGTAAAGGACCACCTGGGGTGTGAGTGGCCAGCAGGGGCCAGCTCAAGCCTGGGCAGTATCTCCCTGCTTCTCTGGGGCCAGAGAAGCTATAAGGAAGCAAAGAGATCCCTCTCCCCAGCCCCCCATCGTCTTCTGGGAATTACTGGCATCACCTATCTTGGCCAGTGATGGAAGGGGACTCTTTCCTTGAGATTCCTCAGCCTCATCCACTTTTCTTCCTTCCTGTGGCCCTAGCCCCACCCTCAAGCTAGGGTCAGGCCTATGGGTGGAGTTTCCCAGCAGAGTTGCCTCCTCCGGTTTCTGCTGAACCCAAGTTGAGAACGGTGCCAAAGTCCAATGATGCCCCCCCAGACCCTTTCCAAGTCCCACCCGGGGCCTCCTGACTGTCAGGGCTGACCCCCTCGGTGCTCATGGAGCCTCGAGTAGAGTACCATCACAAGCAATCTCCCTGGCACATCCTGGGGTGGGGACCCCTGCTCAGTACCCCCTTCCTGGTCACCCACTCTTCAGTGTTACCAAGCCTGGGGACCAGGGCAGGCACCTGCGGGGCTGTCCCACATGCCACCCACACTGCCCACCACCATTTTGCACACTGCCTGTTCACACTCCACATGTCGCCCAGGCGAGAAAGATGGAAAATAAAGTGTATTTACACAGTCATGGACAAGGGGCTCTGAGTGGGGCAGGCCTGAGGTGGAGAGGATTACAGCAGCAACAGGTGCCCTGGCCCTGGCCAGCAACAGAGCTGAGAGGCAGTGCTGTCCTTGCCCTCCAGAGCTTCCTGCAGTCTAACACAGTTGCCAGGAGAGGAAAGGGCATCATCTGTGGTCGCTGGTTGGTGTGAGCAAGGCTGTGGGAGAGGTGGGACAGGATATGACCCCCCACTGAGGCCTCCCCTGGGACACAAGCAGAAAGCCCAGCTTCCAGAAGAGCAGGATCTGGTTGCCTTCATTCAGCACACACTTCAAGATGCTTTCTAGGGTGCTCTGTCCTGTGCCTTATTCAAGTATGGTGAAGATTGAACTGCCACTAATGTGGTAAGTGCCAAATAGACACCAGTTTGAGGAAATCAAGGAAGGCTTCCTGGAGGAGACAATGTCAGAGCTTTCTTCAAGGGCAAAAGCATGAAGGCTAGATGTCACTGGGACCAGCAAGGAAGGGACAGGATACCCAGGAAAAAGAGGAAAACTTGGGTGTGGCCAGAAAAGGAAGGAGTTACTTGGGTTAGGATGGAGAATTGGGGCTTTGAACTGAAGGCAGTGGGAGCCAATTGAGGGCATGGGGAGAAGGACACCATCAGATAGACGACGGCGTGTTTGGAGGTCAGTGAAGAAGCTGGTGCAGAGACACACCAAGCCAGGCAGTAGGGAGAGTGGGTGGAAGCACCTGGGAGAAGAGGACCCAAGGAGGCAAGAGTCCTTTGTGGGGCTTCCTATGAAGCTGAGCTGGAGTCCCAGCTGGTGTGTGGAGGGACGAAGCGGGGATCACAAGGAAGGCTGCAGAGGGGCAGAATCTTATTTGGTCTGGGCAGATGACAACCAGGCCCTGCCCTCTGCACCAGTGAGGGCCCCAAAAATGGCCCCCTCTGCTACCTGATGACTGCTGGGCAGCCAGACATGTCAGTCTTTGCATGCCAGGATCACCAAGTTCACATCTTGTCCCATCACGTGGGATGCCTCGGGGACAACACCATCATTACCAGATTTACCCACAGGACAACTGGCTCCACCCCAGTCATCTCCCCAGGCTACAGCAGGGCTCCTGAGGAGCCATCGGAGCTTCTCCCCTGCCTTTTCCTGGGGCTGGCCTTCAGGTCCTGGCTGCCCAGCATATGGCCTCTCCTGGGCTTGTCTCAGTGTCTGAGAACAAGAAACTCTGGTTTCCCACCAGGGCCCAGTTGGAGAGGAAACTATCTGAATGAGGGAGCTGGCTGGCCTTCCATTCTACTCACTATTGGCTCCCCAGGGTGGAGATAACACAGCCCCTCTGGGCCCATTTATCTTTGGACTCCAGGCTGGGAGGTAGCTGTTTTGAGGTAGGGACAGACACAACTTGGTGATCTTTCCTGACAAGGGCCTGGTCACTGGGTGGAGTAAAGAGACCAGGTCCAAAGGTCCCTTTGCCCCATCATTCCGGGTGTCCAGCAGAGGCCCTTGAGGAGGAAAAGCCTAGGGGAAACTCCTTGCAGAGGTGTTTGGGAAGGTGGGAGGGCCTGGAGTGGAGCTAGAAGGGATCGGGCATGGGAGTGTCTGGGCTGGGTGCAGGGCAGGAAGCACAAGGGGACAGGGGATGTCGCAGGTAGGGCACAGGGCAAGAATGTTCATAGGGCTATGATGCACAAAATGGCCCAGTGAGGACTGCCCATCTCCCACCCAGCCCTGGCAGAGGCCACTTCTTCCTTGCAGGCTCCAACCAGGTCAGTCAGCCCAACACCCTACATCCAAGAAGTGTCCTTTAAGCCCCTGGCCGGGCTGCTGGTTTGCCTTCTGCACTACAGTCACGGAGGGCGGAGTGCCCAGGGTCAGGAAGGTGGCAGGGGAACAGAGGACGCCAATGGACCCCTTCCTCGGCCTCCAGGCCCTACTCTGGGTAGGGGAATCCCTACCCAGAGGATGCATAAGGTAAGGGGATGTACGCTGTGGGAAGAGGGCCAACCCTCCTCGCTTTTAACCCAGGAATGGGGAGAGCTCAGTCGCTTCTCCACTATAGATACGCATTGCATTCGCTCATCTGTTCGCTCCCCTCTTGAGCCTAACTAGAAGTAGGACCTAAAGAACTACAAGTTCATGGACTTGGGTAGGCCTGTACCGCGGAGTGACCAAGGCTCCTCTGCGGCAGCCCCACCTCTCCTGACCCTTCTTTTCCTCCGGTGAAGAGGTTCAGCCAGAATTCCCACCTCCCCCTGGTAGCTGCCAGAACCCCTCGCGCTGGTCAGCTGCCCGCTGGTTCTGCGGAGGCCCCCCAAGTCCCGACCCTGCGGCGAGATCAAGGGCACACAAACTCCAGCGTCCCGGTTTTATTGCAAACTCGGGCTGCACCAAGTAGACAATGCTCAGGACGTGGGATGGGAGCAAGGCAGGACTCACGGAGAGCAGAGGCGCGTCTTAGATTAAATGGGTAGCCTCGAGGGGAGGTCCTAGGCCAAGGGTGTGGGTGGGCCCCAAAGATAGAGGTGGAGCTTGGTCCCAAAGACTGCCACACTAGGGGCTACTAAAATCAATCTAACGACAGAGGGGCTCCAGGGCAATGGGGGCGGGGTCTAAGACAAAGAGGTGTAACCCGGAGGAGCGGACCCTAAAACAGGGGTGGTTTGGCGGGGCTACCGTCTGGCTTAGTGGAAAGTCTCCACTTCCACCACAGTCCAGTCACCCTGTGGGGAGGCCACGTCATCTGGAGAGAAGCTGGTGACCGAAGTGATGCTGGCACGGGATTCGTCCAGAGGAGACAACAGTTCGGCCCAGCGGCCCAGTTCGGAGTCGCTGAGCGGAGCTCGGGAGCTCCCGGTGACACCACCACCTCCCGCACCCCCTGGACCACTGCCGCTGCCTCCCGCAGTACCCTCGGCCGCCGCCAGCAGCAGCGTCCGGCTCAGCAGGTGCTGAACGACGCTAGCCTGCAGCGCCCCCAGCGGCAGCTCGCCCAGGCGCGCAAGCTTTGGGCTCCGCGAAGACACCCCAGTCCCGGACCCCGTCGCAGCCTTCCCACCACCAGCGCCGGACTCGGGCCCCTGATCCAGTGCTCCTGGTGTGGGAGTCGCCGACTCGGGCCCTTCCGTCTCATAGATGGTGCACAGACCATCAGTTGAGCCAGGCCCGGCAACTGGAGGCCACGGCAGGGCCGATCCTGCCGGGAAAGATTAGACCTTGAGCAGAGAGAGCTGGAAGTTCGGTCCCCAATCCAACTGGCCCGCCCACAAGCTGCGAGCCCCGCCTCCTGCCCCACCCACAGCCCGGTCCGGCCCACAATCTCCCTTACCTGGCGCGCCGCGGATTGCCAGTGGTGGAGCCGAACTTCGGCTCCAGGCGGCCGGGTGGCAGGCTGCGAGCTCCGCGTCTGCAGGTGGGGAGGCTGCGGCGCCACCTTCGGGCCCGCTGTCGTAGCCGCGCAGCTCCTCGGGCGTGCTTGTGGCGCTGCTACTGTGGCCGGCCAGGTCCGGGCCGCTCAATGTACTGGACGGGCTGCGAGAAGGTGGCGGCGGCGCGGCGGGGGCCAGTGCCAGGGTCAGCCGTGGACCCGAAGTGGAAGCATCTGGACCTGGGGTCGGGGGGCGGCGTGGAACCTGTGGAGGGGGCGAGGCAGGGGTCTGCAGAATGGGTGAGGACAGTGAGGGCGGAGCCTGTGGGGGCGTGGTCACGGGAGAGGGAGGAGCCTGAAGAGGGGACAAGGCCAGAGATGGGGCATGCTGAGGGGGCGTGGTTATGGGAGGGGCCTGCAGAGTGGGCAAGACTGAAGGAGAGAGAGGGGGAGAGTCCAGAGGTGGAACCTGTGGAGGGGGCGGGGCAGAGAGAGACAGAGGAACCTGCCGAGGAGGTGAGGCGGGAGGAGAAAGAAGAACCTGCAGAGGTGAGGCAGGAGGAGAGGGAGAGAGAAGAGCCTTCAGAGGAGGTGAGGAAGGAGGAGAGGGAAGGGGCAAATGGTATGTGGTAGGGGGAGAAGGGGCCTGCAGAGGGAGCGAAGTCAGAGAAGGTTGGGTTTGTATCGGGGAAATGGGCAGGAAAGAAGGTGTGGCTTGCAGAAGAGGGGAGCCCAGAGAAAGTGAGGCCTGCGGAAAGGAGGAAGCCAAAGGAGGGGTGGACTGCAGAGGTGGTGAGGCCAGAGAAGTTGAGGCCTGTATGGGTGGCATGGTCAAGAGAGAGGGAGAGGGCTGTAAAGGGGGCGTGATCAAAGAGGATGGGGCCTGCACAGGGGGCGTGCCCAGGGAAAAGGAAGGCGACTGCAGAGGCTGTGAGGCCAAAGGAGAGGGAGAAACTAGGGGAGCATCCTGCAGAGGGGATGTGACCGGAAGAAAAGGGTCTTGTGAGGGAGGCATGGCCAAAGTAGAGGGGTTGGCCTGAAGAGAGGGCGGAGGCAAGACAGGACTGACCAGTGGAGGGCTCACAGTCAGAGTGGAAAGGGCTGGCAGAGAGGGCATGGTCAAGGGAGAGGAGGGATTCTGTGGAGATACTGGTGGAGAAATAGGGGCTTGTAGAGGGGCCATGGCTAAAGGTTGAGGAGCAGACAAAGGAGGTGTGGCCAAGGGAGTCGGAAGAGGGGACCAAGCCGAAGCCTGGGTGGAAAGCACATTCTGCAGAGGAGGTGAAACTGATGTAGCCATGGGCAACGGGGAGACCGAGGCCTCTAGAGGAAAGGCTATATCCTGGCATGTGGATGGAGCTTGCAGGGGAGGTGTGGCCGGTGGAGAGGGGAGAGTCTGCAAAGAGAGTGGAGCATCCATGGCTAAAGAAAGGGGCGTGGCTGTCGGGCCAGTTAGTGTCTGTGAATGGGGCGTGACCTGTGGGGAGGATGTGGCAGGAAGATTCAGCAATGCAGGTGGAGGTGGTGTGGTGGGTGGAGAGGGAGGGAGTGTGGCCAGCAGGGGAGCCCCGGAGACTTGGGGAAGTGGTGCCTGTTGTACTGTGGAACCAGGTGGCGAGGACGGGGCCAAAGGAGGAGATACCAGG